TCTGGATAGCCGCCGCTGGGTATTTGTGAAGGAAGGACTGGATGATTTCAGGAAGGGCTGCCCGCCTTGTGAAGATGTGGTCATTCGTGGCCCTAATGAGGGCTTCCTCCCCACGATTTCTCATGGAGCTCCTCACCATGACTCCAGGAAGGGAAAGGGCTACCTAGGCCCTCTGTCCCCACTATCACTGTCTCAGCAAGCACAAAGGGACTTTGCGGAGAACACCGAAGCAAACTTGACCCATCATCCTTTGGATCTCTGGCCCCAGGAGAAAGATTTTTCTTCAGGTCACTTATTAAACTTGTTGGAAGTGCTAGATCCTGACCAGAAGTTGGAGGACAAATGGGCTTATTGTGAGGACCACAGAGAATCGATCAAGCTGCAGCCTATGAAGGAGGAATACCCTCAGAAACCGGTCGAGCAGGATCCTCCCAAGTTTCCTGGGTCACTTCGTTATGGTGTGCTTCACAAAAAAAAACCCAAAAAACAGAAAGACACTGATTCTCTTTATTACAGATACATGCCCAAAGGACTCCGTGGCTTCTGTGAATGGGCTGATACATTTGGAGAAACCGGTATTGACGAAGAATACATGATGAAGGAATTTGACATTTTCTCTGAGTGGAAACCAAGCTATGGGGACTCTGCCATCAAGAAAATCAGCCTGCTTCCTTCTGAGCTAAAGTATTTCAGTATGCGGAACAAAGTGAAGGAGATCAGATTCTCCATGGAGGAGTCTAACTTCGAAAGGAAACTCGGAAAACCACATGATCCTTACAAGTCTACCAAGGAGAAGATTAGATATGGAGCATGGTACCTGAAGCCCAACCTGTGGAAAAAGCTAGTAAATGATGAGCCTTTGATTGACCCCAAGGTGTTACTTGAGCTTGAAGGTGGACTTCCTGGTAAACCAGACATCATTGAAGATCTTTATGGAGCAATTGCCTTTAAAGATTTCATCATAAGCAAAGGCTACAGGATGCCAGTTATCCTTGAGAAGTTGTTTAAGAGGAAGGGATGGGATTATGACACTGTTAACACTCCAATACCAAGAGTAGTAAAAGCACATGAACTGATCATGCAGAAAAGGGATGAAGATTATGACGATGGAAATGCCTAAATGGTTTTCCATTTATTTCCTCATTGGCTATATTATGCTCTTATTTCAAATATCAAACAGAATATATAAGATGAGGGTTTCACCATATGTGAGCATCTGTGTTGGACAACACTTGTAAATGTTTCACTTATTGTTTATAAAACCTTTCTCAATGAACTTCTGCTGTCCCTTCACCAACATGTTGTCAACTACGAAGTCAACATTCACATGTACAGTTCTCATGTTCCAGTGTTATTAAGAATACAACATTGTTACTTCAATTGAAAAAACATGCAAAAGTATTAATAAAAGCAGAACTGTTCTTTAAAATAAGTCAGTAATGTTAGTTACTACATAAGATGATGCTCAAAACACTGCAATTTTATTGAATAATAGGGAACTTTCAAAACTCCGGATGAATAAAATACTAATGAAAAATTATAGCAATTAATTTTTAACTGAAACTTGAAATCTATAGACAAATTAATGTATGTCTGTTTGCTTTCCTTTTTTTTTTGCTTTCTTCAAACAGAATAGAGTCTTGATAGTTTCACAGGTAACTGTGAAAGAGAACTAATGTTGATAGTTTCATAGGTAACTATTTTTAAGTGTTTTAGTTTTGAATTCATTTTGGTCCTTACAACCTTTGTACACATATAACACATTTTCAAAGAAATGCACATTTTCATTTATTCCATTTGTATAGGTATGGTGACAACACTTAAGACTTAATATTTTCAAGGTTAAAATACTTTCAGGTATAGGGTTTGGAACTATTTATTGCAGTTCCACAAGGTTTTTCTTACTCTTAATTTCTTTCCTATACAGAGGTTTTAATGCTAATTGTACCCCTGGTCTTTCACATTTATAGACTATGTTTTTCATGTCATATCCAAGAATTTAATTCTAATAACAGTAGCAAGAAAATTTCTTCCCATGTTCTTTTCTAAAAATCATTTTAGTACTAGTACAATTTCAGTTGTTATATGTTCATCTTTAACCAATTTTCAAATTTTTATTTATTTTTGTTTTTTATTTTTTTCAGGATTTCTATGTAGTCCCAGCTGGCCTGGAACTCACTATGTAGACCAGGCTGGCCTTGAACTCACAGAGATCTGCCAGCCTCTGCCTCCCAAGTGCTGGGATTGAAACAGGTGCCCCCAGGCCCAGCGACATCTTTCATCAATTTTATATTGATATTTTTCCCTCTGGTGACAAGTTCCCAGCAACTAAATTGTGTTGAGAACAAACTGGGTACTGGATAAAAATTCGATTAAATAATTAAGAGAAAAGGAGAAAATATTTTAAAATATAAATTTTATTGTTATCCTTCAACATTTTCCTCACATTTTATCAATGCCAACACTTTCTTTTTAATATTTTATTTATTTATTTTCATGTGTATGAGTGTATTGCCTGCATGTGTGTTGTGCAATGCCTGTGGAGGTCAGAAGATGATGTCAGATTCCCCTAGAACTGGAATTATGAACTGTTGTTAGCCACCATGTGAGTGCTGGGAATTGAATCTGGGTCTGCTGAAAGAGCAGCTAGTGCTCTTAATCACTGAGCCATCTCTCCAGCCCCAAGAATTAATTATTTTTTAATATTTATTTTTATTGCATTTTTATTTATTTGTAGTGTGAGTGGTCAGAAGAGAACTTGGGGGAGTTGATTCTCTCCTTTTACCTTGTGGTTCCTGGGGTTTGTACTCAAGTCATCTGACTTGGCAGCAAGTGCATTTGCATGTTGGGCGATCTTGCGGTCCCCTCTCCTTTGGAGATAGGCTTTAAAAAAAATTTATGTGAATGATTATTTCTTGCTTGCATGTATGTAAGTGCACCACATGTGTGCAATGCTGGTGGAGGCCAGAGGAGGGTGTCAGATCCCCAGGAACTGGAGTTAGGGATGGCTGTTAGCCTCCATGTGGGTGCTAGGAATCCTGGTCCTCTGCAAGAGCACCCAGTGCTCCTAACTGCTGAACCACCTGCCAAGCTCCTGGAAAATTAATACGTAGGTCACAGCACGTTTCTGTTCTTGAAGTATGTAATGAAATATGAAATATGAAACAGGAAATATGAAAATATTGGGAACATTCTGTTAACCTACGGTTCCAGCTATGTTTTGTTGCTGTGAGTAACATCATAACCTAAATCCTGGTCCTCTGCAAGAGCACCCAGTGCTCCTAACTGCTGAACCACCTTCCAAGCTCCTGGAAAATTAATATGTAGGTCACAGCACGTTTCTGTTCTTGAAGTATGTAATGAAATATGAAACAGGAAATATTAAAATATTGGGAACATTCTGTTAACCTAGGGTTCCAGCTATGTTTTGTTGCTGTAACATCATAACCCTAAGCAACTTAGGGAAGAAAGGGTTTATTTCATCTTATAGGACAGTCCATCTATAGAGGGAAGCCAAGACAGGAATTCAAGACTAGAGTCTAGAGGCAGAAATTGAAGCAGAGACCATGGAGGAATGGTCCTTACTGCATTGCCTCCGTGTCTTGCTGAGCTATTTTTCTTACACAGCCCAGACCTACTTGCCCAGAGATGGCACTGCCCACAGAGGGCTGGGTCCTCCTACATCAATTAATAATCAATGAAATGTCCGACAGGCATGCCCTATGGCCAGTCTGGTAGATGAAATTCCTTAATTAAATTGATTTCTTTCGGATGATTGTAGGTTTTTTTAAATTTTTTTATTTATTATTTTTATTTTATGTGTATGCGTGTATTGCCTGAGTGTAGGTAAGTGCACCCGTGTCGTGCAAAGCCCATGGAGGACAGAAGTGGCTGTCGGATCCCCTGGGACTGGAGTTATGGACAGTTGTTGGCTGCCATGTGAGTGCTGGGATTTGAACCCAGGTCTTCTGCAAGAGCAAACAGTGTCTTTAACCGCTGAGCCATCTCTCCAGCACTGTAGTTTTATCAAGTTAACCAAAAAGAACCAGCATACCTAGGATGAGAAGGAGGGTGCTTTAAAGTAGAATATGCATTCAAAGTTCTCCAGTGTCATAAACCGTCGTGTTTATTCAGAATACCTGGAAAAACTAAAGGTGAGTTTTCTCTAAACAATGGGAAGTTCATGATCCTTTCCTTTCCAGAAAATAATCCCTCAGTGGTGACTACAACACAGACATCTGGGGTACCATTGAATACAAGATAGAAACAACTGGGAGCCCATTACCCACCAGACTTTGTCCCTTATGGAGGGATTTCTTAGCTTGCCTTGGCAAACATGCATAGTACATGCAGGGATTTTAAACAATTTGAATATGTTTCATACAGTTTAAAGTCTGTGAAAAACCCCAAATGATGTAAAAATATAATAAACAAAGCCATGTAGGACTGTTATAGATGCTTTAACTGCCTATATTATTTACTTGTCATTCTTTCAGTGTTTTTGCATTTTTATCCACTTGACATTAGTTTATAACTTATTCTTTACATCAAATTGTTGGTGCATCTGTGCCCCTAAGTTATTTTCTCATTCACAGCATCAACATATGCACAAAATCGTTTTGTGACGAGAATTAATGAAAAATATTCTTGGTAGAAAAGAGATAGGGAGCTGGAGAGGTGGCTTAGTGTTAAGAGTGCATATTTCTCTTGCAGAGAACCAGAATTTGGTTCCTAGACCCCATATTGGGCAGCACACAATTGCCTATAGGTAGCTTCAGTTCCAAGGGATCCAATGCCCTCTTCTGGACCCTGTGGGCACCTGCATTCACATGTTCACAAACTCACACACAGACATATGCACACATACTAATAATTAAATAAAATAACTGTTAAAAATGAAATCTTGGGACTGAAGAGTTGACTCAGCAGTTAAGAGCCCTGACTGTTCTTACAGAGGACCTGGGTTTGATTCTCAGCACCCACATGGTGACTGACACAGTTCCTGGGGATCCAACACTCTCTTCTGACCTCTGAGGGCATTGCATGACACGGGTGCACTTACATACATGCAGGCAATACACTCATACATGTACAACAAAAA